ATATTATATAATATTTTAAATTGATTCTCTTGGATATGCAACTATTTATAGAATAAACTTACTTGCATAACAGTTTAACAAATTAATAAAGATATCATTTATTGATAATTATTGCTTCATTTTAGGTGATGACTTATTGTATTTATTGAATATCCAAAATGAAGAGTTTTTTCAGAGATCCTATTAATGCGAAGATTTTTCTGCTTTCCCTTTATATTAGATAAATTTTATTGATAATTCATAATATGATATTATTGTGCTTATTTTCATTTAATATTACGAACTGTATTATTCAATAATCGTTTTGGGTGAAAATTAGTATTTTTAAAATAAAGTAGATCTAAATTATGTTGAAGAAATTTTTAATGATAATTTATAATTTTTATTCTCATATATTACTATCTTAGATATACAAAGATCTAAAATTTTACTTATAACCGGTTTTATTAATCAAACAAGTTGGATATTAAGTTTAAAAATCAACCTAGAAAAATAAATTTTAAGTTTTCATAATATAGTTGGCACAATCCCACCATATGGTAATTATGAAATTCTTAAAAATATTCAATATTAACATGGCTTTTTGGCTATGTAATTAATTTATGGAAATTCTCAATTCATGATATTAATTTATGATCTATCTGATTTAACTAATTAAGAAATGAATCAACCTTTGTTAATTTATTAAAATTAATAAAATTTATCTACAGCAAGTTTTGGGATGAACATTAGTAAAGAATTTAAGAATGGAACAATTATTACTTTTAAAAATAATTCTATTTATTATTAGTTTATAAATACATATAGCATTACATGTAGATTTAGAAATAAGTAAACATAAATTAATGTAAAAATGATTTGCTATAACGATTTTTCAAGAGGAGAATTTAAATTTTAATATTAATTACCTAATTTGTAAAAAAAAAAGTAACACTGGTATTATATTCTGCTTTCTATTATTATCATTCTTTTAATAAGTTTTTATTTTTTGGTAAAATAGAAAACTAAAAGGATGAAATAACTTATTAGTGAAATAGAATTATGAATTAATCATCAAAAAATTGTATGAAATTTAAATTCAGTATTGTTATAAATTTTAGAATAAATTAAATAATATTTAAGGTGTGAACTAGTTAATAATTCAATTTTAAAATGCATTTATCTAAGATCTTGAATTCTGTATTCTTTACTTTAATTTAACATATTTCATATCAGTTTTAAGGTTTTGTTGATTATTATCAATCTTTTTTTTATTATAATTGCAGAAATTGCAGAGTTGAAAAAATATATATAAGTATTAGAATTATTTCTATGTTATTGATTGAAATATATATTTTTGTTGAATATTCAATTTAATATTTGAATTATCTTTAATTGTTAAATTATGTATAGTTCCTAAAAATATTGAAAAATATTTATTATCAAATTGTAATTCTTAAGAATTAAAATTCAGCCAATTGTTTAAATAATCTTCCTTTTTAATTATATATAACTTAAATACTTTATTTTTAAGTCATATCAATAGCCCTAATATTTCATAAAAATCAAAGAGATTATATTAATTTCATTTTAAAACAGTAAAAAAAAAGTTGCCATCAAATCTCACTATTCTA